AGGGCCATGAGACTTAGACCTGAGTGCAAAAAATGGAGGCTCTAGCCCCTTCCAGAGCTGAGATATCGAAACTCAAAAATTCGGCCCGAAAAAAAAACGACAGTGGTCCCCTTACTTGTTTTTTTTTTGGGCGAAAAAATTAAGTTTCTCCAATCTTCCCAAAACTCTGGATTCTGATAGAGGGCCATGAGACTTAGACCTTGAGTGCAAAAATGGAGGCTCTAGCCCCTTCCAGAGCTGAGATATCGAAACTCCACAAATTCGGCCCGAAAAAAAAACGACAGTGGTACCCCTTACGGTTTTTTTTTTGGGCGAAAAATTAAGTTTCTCCAATCTTCCCAAACTCTGGATTCTGATAGAGGGCCATGAGACTTAGACCTGAGTGCAAAAATGGAGGCTCTAGCCCCTTCCAGAGCTGAGATATCGAAACTCAAAATTCGGCCCGAAAAAAAAAAACGACAGTGGTACCCCTTACGTTTTTTTTTTTTTGGCGAAAAATTAAGTTTTCTCCAATCTTCCCAAAACTCTGATTCTGATAGAGGCCATGAGACTTAGACCTGAGTGCAAAAATGGAGGCTCTAGCCCCTTCCAGAGCTGAGATATCGAAACTCAAAAATTCGGCCCGAAAAAAAAACGACAGTGGTACCCCTTACCTTTTTTTTTTTGGGCAAAAATTAAGTTTCTCCAATCTTCCCAAAACTCTGGATTCTGATAGAGGGCCATGAGACTTAGACCTGAGTGCAAAAATGGAGGCTCTAGCCCCTTCCAGAGCTGAGATATCGAAACTCAAAAATTCGGCCGAAAAAAAAAACGACAGTGGTACCCCTTACGTTTTTTTTTTTTTTGGCGAAAAATTACGTTTCTCCAATCTTCCCAAAACTCTGGATTCTGAATAGAGGGCCATGAGACTTAGACCTGAGTGCAAAAATTGAGGCTCTAGCCCCTTCCAGAGCTGAGATATCGAAACTCAAAAATTCGGCCCCGAAAAAAAAAAAACGACAGTGGTACCCCTTACGTTTTTTTTTTTTGGGCGAAAAATTACGTTTCTCCAATCTTCCCAAAACTCTGGATTCTGATAGAGGCCATGAGACTTAGACCTGAGTGCAAAAATGGAGGCTCTAGCCCTTCCAGAGCTGAGATATCGAAACTCAAAAATTCGGCCGAAAAAAAAAACGACAGTGGTACCCCTTACGTTTTTTTTTTTTTTTGGCGAAAAATTAAGTTTCTCCAATTTTCCCAAAACTCTGAATTCTGATAGACGGCCATGAGACTTAGACCTGAGTGCAAAAATGGAGGCTCTAGCCCCTTCCAGAGCTGAGATATCGAAACTCAAAAATTCGGCCCGAAAAAAAAAAACGACAGTGGTACCCCTTACGTTTTTTTTTTTGGGCAAAAAATTAAGTTTCTCCAATCTTCCCAAAACTCTGGATTCTGATAGAGGGCCATGTTCTTGAGACAACACCTGTTTTGCAGATGTGTTGTGAGGGATTCTATTCACAGGGTTGAATAATTTTGAGACTGCAAAAGTTTGATTGGTTCATTGCAAACAGCTCAAAGTCAGTAAATTTAGTCAATAAACCTGATTTGCAACATGGGTTGAATCATTTATTATAAAAACTGTATGCAAGTAAACTTCAGGAGTTTATAGCAGTGGTGGTTTATTATACATTTGCATAAGTGAGCAGTGAAATCTAGAGAAGTATCTTACTCTTACCTGACACTGATATTAAAGGATTAGTTCACTTTTGAAAAAACTTTTGCTGATAAATTACTCACCCCCATGTCATCCAAGATGTCCATGTCTTTCTTTCCTCAGTCGAAAAGAAATGAAGGTTTTTGATGAAAACATTCCAGGATTTTTCTCCTTATAATGGACTTCAATGGGAACCAGGTCCAACCGAGGTCCAAACGACAGTTATAACAGTTACAGATGCAGCTTCAAATGTCTTTAAACGACACCAAACGATGAATGAGGGTCTTATCATGCGAAACGATCGGTTATTTCAAAGCTTATTCCAAAATGTAACTTTTCTAAGGACAAATGCTAGCCTTGTAATATATTGTGAGGCGCGTTTGCAACGTCACGTAATACGTAATTACGTTCAAAAGGTCACGGGCGACGTAGCCGGAAGTACAGAATCAAAATCGTCCGACATCGTTGTTTTACCTTTTAATTCCTTTTTTTGTAAACGGCGTTTGAGTCAGTTTTCACGTTCAACCTATGCGTTCAACTTGTAAACACTCTGACTCTGTACTTCTGGCTACGTCGCCCGTGACCTTTTGAACGTAATTACGTATTAAGTGACGTTGCAAACGCGCCTCACAGAATGGAGAAAGGCTAGCATTTGTCCTTAGAAAAGTTACATTTTTGGAATAAGCTTTGAAATAACCGATCGTTTCGCACGATAAGACCCTTATTCATCGTCTGGTGTCGTTTAAAGACATTTGAAGCTGCATCTGTAACTGTTATAACTGTCGTTTGGACGTCGGTTGGACCTGGTTCCCATGGAAGTCCATTATAAGGAGAAAAATCCATCAAAATGTTTTCATCAAAAACCTTAATTTCTTTTCGACTGAGGAAAGAAAGACATGGACATCTTGGATGACATGGGGGTGAGTAAATTATCAGCAAAAGTTTTTTCAAAAGTGACCTAATCCTTTAAATTTCTCCGTTTCTGTGATTTGGCTGTATTTATTGATTCTTTCGTCGGATACCATCATCTATGTTGAAATGAAAGCATGTGAAAATGACAAGTCTTCGCTGTGCCATTTTGAACCCAGCAGGTGAAGATTATAATGCAGTCATTGCCTGTTGTCTTTCTTTTTCTTCACAGCACGTGCTGAAAAAGCTGCTGGCCATCACTGAGCTCCTTCAGCAGAAACAGGTGCACTATGCCATGTCCAACAGCAACAGGTAGTTCCACCTCGGTCATTTTGTCTGTCAGTTTGTCTCCGTCTTCCTGGAGTAGCCAATGGGACCCCAGCATGCTCCACCCTCATCCCCATGTCAGCTCCCACCCACCCCATATCTTCCATCATCCCTTTTCCTTGCGCCTCATTGTCTGTGCCACGAGAACTATGCAAACTACAGCTGCAAAACAAAACGGCTGGACTCCTGAAGTCCGACACCAATGACTTTATAATCACACGGCCAAATGGGTTTGACTGCTTGCTTGCAGTATCTTGGGTACATATCAATATAACAGATGGGACGACCAACCGATGTCCCGATTTGTCCACAGAATAATGTTTTTGAATACAGGTTGCCAAAGTGCATCTCTGCATCTGCTTGATCTGAAACTGAACTGACACAAGGCTGCAACGATTCTTCTCTATAACTGGATTATGAGCTAAAATGATTTTTATACTGTAATTTGTTACTGATTTACATGGCTATGAATATGCAAAATGTGCTCAGACTAGTGTTCTTTGTCCTTAATCCTGTTCCGTTTAGTTCGAACTGTGCTGTAGACTGGATTTTTTTTTCTTCTTCTTTTTATCATCCTCAGAGAGTATGAATATTTTATATCGGAACAATAAATTCTCTTGCTGGAATCATGAGTATATAATTTGAGGTAACCTGATTTGTTTTCCATATTGTACTTATGTTTGATTGGTTCATTCTTCCCTGAGACAAATTCAAAGCCAGATATGTTCTCAGGAGAAAAGTTCAAGGTAAAACAAAAAATGTTTACATCAGTAAAATTTACAATAGTAAAGATTGTATCAGGAATGCATGCACTTATTAAACATGTTTTGTAAAGTAATGGCTGGCTTATGTCTCAGATCAGCATATGAAAGCAGCTTTTGGAATAGCTATTTTGGGAATAATTTTGGGGACAGCTGTTGTACTCTAAACAGTATTCTAGAGTGTTTGTCTGTTATCAGTTCTTGATTTTGAATGAACCATTATTATGGTTATTGACAGCATTTGTGTCATGTCAATTGAACACCCCTTTTACCCCAGTTCTTTAAAGGGATACTCCACTTTTTTGGGGGGGGGGGATAGGCTCATTTTACAACTCCCGCAGAGTTAAACAGTTGGGTTTTACCGTTTTCAAATGCTTTCAGCCGATTTTTTGATATTTAGAAGAACATCAGTAACCAGACAGTTTCTGGTCTCATTGACTTCCATAGTAGAAAGAAAATATACTATGAAAGTCAATGAGAACAGAAACTGTCTTTTTATGGATATTCTTCTAAATATCAGAAAATTGGCTAAATGCGCTCGAAAATGGTTAAACGGTTTAACTCTGGGGAGTGGTAAAATCAGCCTATTTCCAAAAAAAAAAAGTGGAGTATCCCTTTAAGAAGACTGTCACTGTTATAAGTGTACTACTGTTAGACATCAGCTAAATGACACTTGCAAGCAGATATTGTTTAGTGTTTTAACTACCAGTACACTATCATTCAAAAAATGTTTTTGAAACAAGTCTTTAACGCTAACCAAGGTTACATTTATTTGATCCAAGATAGAAAATGGTTATAATAAGAGGGAATATTTAATATTACTCTATTTTAAAATGTCATTTATTCCTGTGACAAAACTGAATTTTCAGCAGCCATTACTCTAGTCCTCGGTGTCCCATGACATGATCCTTCAGAAAGCATGCTGATTTGGTGTTTAAAAAACATTAACATTTGTGCTGCATAAGTTTGTGGAAACCGTGAAACCCTTTTTTCAGTATTTGGTGAATATAAAGTTCAGACAAACAGCACTTGGAAAGATTTCCTGGAAACAATATACAAATTTAACTGTCACTCTTGGATAAAAGCTTATGGTAGTAAAAAAAAATATTTTATTTTTAGAGAAGTAAAAGACAACATTTTGCTTAAGTATTTACAATTTAGTTTGAGAACAGCAAGTGTCAAAAGGAATCACTCAACCCATTCATGAAACAACTGTCGACGATGTTGCTGATTTAAAAACAATTCCATCATAATGCATCCAAATCCTCATCAGTCCATTCCTGCAAAACAGAAAATCCATAAGCTTCAAGTGGCAACATGAAGATGTGCATTTGAGGAACCAATCTAAACTTACTTCCTCAGCAACCATCTGCCTTTTCACAACGTGATCGTCATCTTCATATCCATGTTTTCTTTTCCTGAAGGCCGTGGACAGAGGAAAGCATCAGAACCATACACTTATCATCTGAAGACTGCATTTATTTAGTGACTGTATTTGGCGACTCATCCCTCACACACATCCAAGCATGCTAACTAGTGCTGTAGCTCATAACTGTAGTTATAGATCAAGATCATTGATGTTTTTTTTTGTCTGTCAATTTGTTGTTTAACTATAACCTCAACAGAAAAGTATCAGGTAGGCATTTAAAAAAAATGAATATTTTTATATAAAATTGTGAATAACGAAATCTTAACCGCACACGGGTGAGAAACAAGGTGCACGGCCTTTTGAAAGCGCTTGAAATTTCTTATGGCTCAATAAATCGTTCAAGACTTGCATAATCCTGAAAGGTCACTATGCCCAATTTTGTCTTTATTTTGCAGAACTGAATGTACCTTTATGGCTGTAGCCACCACAATCCAGATCCTCTGAGAGAAAAGATTGGTAGCAAAGAAAGCAAGACTTGTTCTCATCAGATGCAAAGGAAGAAGGTGGATGCACGAACCAAGTTTTGCTCGGACTCTAGATAGGCAACACACTGCCAATCTCTCAAACCAACTTGATTCAAAACTTGAATTCACAGATAATCCATCAAATAGATGGTTAGAGGTTACGTCCGTCGAAAAGTATGTCGTGGGTCTTCTAAGACTGAAAATCATGAACACTCCAAGAGAATAACCAAAATTGAGCAAATCAGAAATGCTTGTTTACCCAACCTGCAAAATCAACATGGATCTGTCCGACTTTGCTTCCCGCTGGTAGAACCGACCTGGGAACCGTGAGCGCTAGACTGCTATCTGTAGCAAGCAAGAACTTTGGCACTGCATTGCTCTTGACCATCAGGGAAGCAAGATGCACGTCAGGTGCAAGCCTTAAAAACCGTCTCTACACTCAACTCTACCGCACAACCTTTTCCTGTTTTCGACCGCGGTTTCAGGTGCAGGTAGGCTTAGATAGATCCTAAAGATAGCAACTGATTCCTATCTTACCTTCTGAACCGCTTCGCTTGACAAGATGCTGCATCCTGGCTTTTATCTCCAAACCAGTGTTTGTGTGATACATGAGCAGATCAGTGAGACCGATTCAATTTCGGAGGATAGATTACACAAGATTGTTGCATGTGTCCACTTTTAATAACCTGCCCCCTTTGTTCTTCCACCGAAGCAACAGCAACAAACTCCAGCTCAAATTAAATTTTATAGCTTTTCACCAGAATGGACCGAGTGGATTATGAACTTCCTGGTTTATTTCACATTCTAAAAGAAAGACCTATTGACTTTCAAACTCTATTATTTTATTATAACAGCCTGTTCGTGTTTGCCAGACTTGCTTGAGTTAATTTGGCATTTTCTTGATGTGTATTATTCCCTGAAATATGTAAAACCGCAAAAACTTAATTTAGATGATTCTACAATGTATTATTTTTTTTTTTGGACAGATAGTAGCATTGTCCTGTACTTATTGACACCCTTACAAAAAAGTGCTTGGTTGGTACCATTGTACAGTGGTGAGATCTAATGCTAATACCATGGTACTCTAACATGCACCATTGTAATGAAAGATTGCCATGGTATGCGTCCAAAAAAAACTGGTTTAATCATTGTACTGTGTCCTAAAATCATGGTAATATACCCAGTTACCTTTATGTTAGTATAAGGTGTATATTCACTACCACTGACTTGAAACAGCTCTCTTTGTACCCATTTCCTGTTTTCATCTACAGTTGATGTAGGGATTCTCTACGGTACATTTAGCTGCATTTTGTGACCCAGCAAATCTATGAAAAGCATGACGCAGATTTACCTTTTTTTCTGTATTTCAGGTAGCTCATGTATTTTTATTTTTATATTTTTTACTTAAAAAAAAAAAACACTTTTGCATCTTAGATACAAAACACCAAGTGACTAACCTGGCTGAATAAAACTCTTAGTATGATTAGTTTTGTGTGCTTTAAAACTCTAAAATCTAAGTACTGTCATTTTATTTTCTCCACAAATACTCACAAGTTTGTAGCAAATTCAGCATGAACCCTTTCCAGTTTCTGTTTGCAGGCATCAACCTCCTCAGCTCTGGGAAGCTCATACACTTTCATAAGACTTGTTATTCCTATAATGAAAACAGACACAATATTAATTACACGTATATGGTTTCCTTGAATGTACCAATAACAAATGATTGATAATCCAAAGATTATTCAGTAACGCTTTATTTTTACTGTCCAGTTACCCATGTAAATACTATGTACTTATTTTAGTAACTACAATTACTGGGTAATAACCAATACTAACCCTGAACCTACCCCTGTTCCATGTACTTACCTTATATTAGCCAGTACTTTCTAGGTAAGTACACTGTAAGTACTGTACCGTAAAAGGAAGCGTTACCGATTATTCTTACCAGGCACTAAATAAGACAAAAACACCACAACAGAACAGGCAATCAAACCACCTGATGTATGAAATACACTACCATCAAAAGTTTGGGTTTGGTAAGATTTTTAAAGATGTTTTTTGAAAGAAGTCTCGCTCACCATTTACAATGTCATTTATTCCTGTGATGGCAAAGCTACACAGTTTACGGCATCATTACTCTAGTCTTCAGTGGCACATGCACCTTCAAAAATCATTCTAATATACTGATTTGGAACTCATCAAACATTTCTAATCAATGTTGAAAACAGTTCTGCGGCTTAAGATTTTTATACTAGTAGAAGTTTGAGTGCTAGTTTGCATTAAAGGAGAACTCCGGCGCAAAATGAACCTTTGGTCTAATAACACACTGGTACCTAGTCAACTGTTCTCTGAGATTTGTAAAATAAATGACATTGAGTAATGAAAAATAAAAATCACTAGTTAATACCACTAACAAGGCTCAAAATAGCCCCACGCTAACACAGTAACATAATGATGGGTCCCTACATGCAAACCAAAGCATTGAGAACTTAGTAAGTGTAGAGACAGTTTAATAAGAAGATATTTTATAAAGACAGTCCACTTTGCGTATACAGAGGAAAAAACCCAGACTGCAGCTTTAAAGTAAAAATTTGTACTTAGTGTTGCTTTAAGAATCTCTTATCTAAAGACATGTTAACAGTAAAAAAGGGGGGAATATACTTACGTCTCATTGACTCATACAACTTAGAGAGTGTCTCTTTATCCTCTTTAAGCCCCATACATTCGGTCAAATATCTGAAAATATATATATAAAAAAAAATTACATCATGCCATCTCAAGTGTTAGAATCTCTGAATGCTGAAGGAGAAACCTACGCCTCAATCTTCAGGCCAGCACGTGTTGCACTGTTGAGGATGGCTGTGAGGGCGATCTGAGATGGAGAGAAGAGGAGTCCAGTGTCTGTCATTGCTGCTCTGTTGAGAAAGTCTTCAGCACTTTTTCTCAGTATCTCTGGGTTCTCCAACAAAGGGTATCTGGTCTAAGAATACAGAAACCATGCATTCAAATTTCCTTAAATGATCTATTTAGCAACTTTTAAAAATGAAGTGCCTAATCTCTGCATCACTGGTGCAGTTTGAGCACCCCTACATAATCAGTATTGGGGAAGCTACTCTGAACCTGTAGCTTGACAAGCTACTCATAAAATTTAAAGTGCCATTTTATCCGGACTATAAGTCGCATCAGTCAAAAAATGTGTCATGAAAAAAACACAAAAAAACATAAGTCGCACTGGACTATAAATCGCATCTGTTTATGGCCAGCAATATTGTCAATGTTTAAGGACATTATGGAATTAAGATAATGTCTGTGTTCTGTCGATCTGTGATTCTACGGTGATTTTACAGTGCAAAGTAACGTTACCTCTTCAGATTGTCCTATGAAATAAACGATAGGATGATTTTACGTTGCAAAATGCCTCATCAGATTGTCCTACCAGTATGAAATAAACGAGTAGAATGATTTTACGTTAATGTTTTCATGAAAAAAAATGCTAATATGAATTTGCTTTGTATGAATGTGAGAGTAAACAGTTCTCATTACTGCTATATATCTTTGTATAGTAATAATTGACAAAAATAGTGAAAAACTTACCTCAGATGAAGAAGATCTCGCACAAGTAGTAAAATATTATGGGCGTGTTGTTCAGCGTGACAAAAATGACGTATTATTGATGTGCGCATGCGCAGTAAGCCTTGGTAGGACAATCTGACGGATAGGATGGAATGTCAGAACAGTCTGTACTATGTTATGATTGTACTGTACAATTAAATACATGTTCCTTAACCTGTTCATTAACGGAATCATTTGAGAATATCATCTGAAAATCTAATAACATCAGCAATTTTCAATTAAGAAGATTTGAGACAAATAAAAGAGAATTTAATATAAAACTGTACACTCTGTGGCGCTGCAGGATTTTGAACAAGGTCCTGAGCTGGGCGCCACGCACTGAGGAAACGTATCACACTTTAAACAGCACACGCATCTGTCAAAGCACCTGACATGAGACTTAGACCTGAGTGCAAAAATGGAGGCTCTAGCAAAAAAAAAACGACAGTGGTACCCCTAACGTTTTTTTTGTTTTTTTGGGCGAAAAATTAAGTTTCTCCAATCTTCCCAAAACTCTGGATTCTGATAGAGGGCCATGAGACTTAGACCTGAGTGCAAAAATGGAGGCTCTAGCCCCTTCCAGAGCTGAGATATCGAAACTCAAAAATTCGGCCCGAAAAAAAAACGACAGTGGTACCCCTTACGTTTTTTTTTTTTTGGGCGAAAAATTAAGTTTCTCCAATCTTCCCAAAACTCTGGATTCTGATAGAGGGCCATGAGACTTAGACCTGAGTGCAAAAATGGAGGCTCTAGCCCCTTCCAGAGCTGAGATATCGAAACTCAAAAATTCGGCCCGAAAAAAAAAACGACAGTGGTACCCCTTACGTTTTTTTTTTTTTTGGCGAAAAATTAAGTTTCTCCAATCTTCCCAAAACTCTGGATTCTGATAGAGGGCCATGAGACTTAGACCTGAGTGCAAAAATGGAGGCTCTAGCCCCTTCCAGAGCTGAGATATCGAAACTCAAAAATTCGGCCCGAAAAAAAAACGACAGTGGTACCCCTTACGTTTTTTTTTTTTGGGCGAAAAATTAAGTTTCTCCAATCTTCCCAAAACTCTGGATTCTGATAGAGGGCCATGAGACTTAGACCTGAGTGCAAAAATGGAGGCTCTAGCCCCTTCCAGAGCTGAGATATCGAAACTCAAAAATTCGGGCCGAAAAAAAAACGACAGTGGTACCCCTTACGTTTTTTTTTTTTTGGCGAAAAATTAAGTTTCTCCAATCTTCCCAAAACTCTGGATTCTGATAGAGGGCCATGAGACTTAGACCTGAGTGCAAAAATGGAGGCTCTAGCCCCTTCCAGAGCTGAGATATCGAAACTCAAAAATTCGGCCCGAAAAAAAAAACGACAGTGGTACCCCTTACGTTTTTTTTTTTTTGGGCGAAAAATTAAGTTTCTCCAATCTTCCCAAAACTCTGGATTCTGATAGAGGGCCATGAGACTTAGACCTGAGTGCAAAAATGGAGGCTCTAGCCCCTTCCAGAGCTGAGATATCGAAACTCAAAAATTCGGCCCGAAAAAAAAACGACAGTGGTACCCCTTACGTTTTTTTTTTTTGGGCGAAAAATTAAGTTTCTCCAATCTTCCCAAAACTCTGGATTCTGATAGAGGGCCATGAGACTTAGACCTGAGTGCAAAAATGGAGGCTCTAGCCCCTTCCAGAGCTGAGATATCGAAACTCAAAAATTCGGCCCGAAAAAAAAAACGACAGTGGTACCCCTTACGTTTTTTTTTTTTTGGGCGAAAAATTAAGTTTCTCCAATCTTCCCAAAACTCTGGATTCTGATAGAGGGCCATGAGACTTAGACCTGAGTGCAAAAATGGAGGCTCTAGCCCCTTCCAGAGCTGAGATATCGAAACTCAAAAATTCGGCCCGAAAAAAAAACGACAGTGGTACCCCTTACGTTTTTTTTTTTTGGGCGAAAAATTAAGTTTCTCCAATCTTCCCAAAACTCTGGATTCTGATAGAGGGCCATGAGACTTAGACCTGAGTGCAAAAATGGAGGCTCTAGCCCCTTCCAGAGCTGAGATATCGAAACTCAAAAATTCGGCCCGAAAAAAAAACGACAGTGGTACCCCTTACGTTTTTTTTTTTTGGGCGAAAAATTAAGTTTCTCCAATCTTCCCAAAACTCTGGATTCTGATAGAGGGCCATGAGACTTAGACCTGAGTGCAAAAATGGAGGCTCTAGCCCCTTCCAGAGCTGAGATATCGAAACTCAAAAATTCGGCCCGAAAAAAAAAACGACAGTGGTACCCCTTACGTTTTTTTTTTTTGGGCGAAAAATTAAGTTTCTCCAATCTTCCCAAAACTCTGGATTCTGATAGAGGGCCATGAGACTTAGACCTGAGTGCAAAAATGGAGGCTCTAGCCCCTTCCAGAGCTGAGATATCGAAACTCAAAAATTCGGCCCGAAAAAAAAAACGACAGTGGTACCCCTTACGTTTTTTTTTTTGGGCGAAAAATTAAGTTTCTCCAATCTTCCCAAAACTCTGGATTCTGATAGAGGGCCATGAGACTTAGACCTGAGTGCAAAAATGGAGGCTCTAGCCCCTTCCAGAGCTGAGATATCGAAACTCAAAAATTCGGCCCGAAAAAAAAACGACAGTGGTACCCCTTACGTTTTTTTTTTTTGGGCGAAAAATTAAGTTTCTCCAATCTTCCCAAAACTCTGGATTCTGATAGAGGGCCATGAGACTTAGACCTGAGTGCAAAAATGGAGGCTCTAGCCCCTTCCAGAGCTGAGATATCGAAACTCAAAAATTCGGCCCGAAAAAAAAACGACAGTGGTACCCCTTACGTTTTTTTTTTTGGGCGAAAAATTAAGTTTCTCCAATCTTCCCAAAACTCTGGATTCTGATAGAGGGCCATGAGACTTAGACCTGAGTGCAAAAATGGAGGCTCTAGCCCCTTCCAGAGCTGAGATATCGAAACTCAAAAATTCGGCCCGAAAAAAAAAACGACAGTGGTACCCCTTACGTTTTTTTTTTTGGGCGAAAAATTAAGTTTCTCCAATCTTCCCAAAACTCTGGATTCTGATAGAGGGCCATGAGACTTAGACCTGAGTGCAAAAATGGAGGCTCTAGCCCCTTCCAGAGCTGAGATATCGAAACTCAAAAATTCGGCCCGAAAAAAAAAACGACAGTGGTACCCCTTACGTTTTTTTTTTTGGGCGAAAAATTAAGTTTCTCCAATCTTCCCAAAACTCTGGATTCTGATAGAGGGCCATGAGACTTAGACCTGAGTGCAAAAATGGAGGCTCTAGCCCCTTCCAGAGCTGAGATATCGAAACTCAAAAATTCGGCCCGAAAAAAAAAACGACAGTGGTACCCCTTACGTTTTTTTTTTTTGGGCGAAAAATTAAGTTTCTCCAATCTTCCCAAAACTCTGGATTCTGATAGAGGGCCATGAGACTTAGACCTGAGTGCAAAAATGGAGGCTCTAGCCCCTTCCAGAGCTGAGATATCGAAACTCAAAAATTCGGCCCGAAAAAAAAAACGACAGTGGTACCCCTTACGTTTTTTTTTTTGGGCGAAAAATTAAGTTTCTCCAATCTTCCCAAAACTCTGGATTCTGATAGAGGGCCATGAGACTTAGACCTGAGTGCAAAAATGGAGGCTCTAGCCCCTTCCAGAGCTGAGATATCGAAACTCAAAAATTCGGCCCGAAAAAAAAAACGACAGTGGTACCCCTTACGTTTTTTTTTTTTGGGCGAAAAATTAAGTTTCTCCAATCTTCCCAAAACTCTGGATTCTGATAGAGGGCCATGAGACTTAGACCTGAGTGCAAAAATGGAGGCTCTAGCCCCTTCCAGAGCTGAGATATCGAAACTCAAAAATTCGGCCCGAAAAAAAAAACGACAGTGGTACCCCTTACGTTTTTTTTTTTTGGGCGAAAAATTAAGTTTCTCCAATCTTCCCAAAACTCTGGATTCTGATAGAGGGCCATGAGACTTAGACCTGAGTGCAAAAATGGAGGCTCTAGCCCCTTCCAGAGCTGAGATATCGAAACTCAAAAATTCGGCCCGAAAAAAAAACGACAGTGGTACCCCTTACGTTTTTTTTTTGGGCGAAAAATTAAGTTTCTCCAATCTTCCCAAAACTCTGGATTCTGATAGAGGGCCATGAGACTTAGACCTGAGTGCAAAAATGGAGGCTCTAGCCCCTTCCAGAGCTGAGATATCGAAACTCAAAAATTCGGCCCGAAAAAAAAACGACAGTGGTACCCCTTACGTTTTTTTTTTTGGGCGAAAAATTAAGTTTCTCCAATCTTCCCAAAACTCTGGATTCTGATAGAGGGCCATGAGACTTAGACCTGAGTGCAAAAATGGAGGCTCTAGCCCCTTCCAGAGCTGAGATATCGAAACTCAAAAATTCGGCCCGAAAAAAAAAACGACAGTGGTACCCCTTACGTTTTTTTTTTTTGGGCGAAAAATTAAGTTTCTCCAATCTTCCCAAAACTCTGGATTCTGATAGAGGGCCATGAGACTTAGACCTGAGTGCAAAAATGGAGGCTCTAGCCCCTTCCAGAGCTGAGATATCGAAACTCAAAAATTCGGCCCGAAAAAAAAAACGACAGTGGTACCCCTTACGTTTTTTTTTTTTGGGCGAAAAATTAAGTTTCTCCAATCTTCCCAAAACTCTGGATTCTGATAGAGGGCCATGAGACTTAGACCTGAGTGCAAAAATGGAGGCTCTAGCCCCTTCCAGAGCTGAGATATCGAAACTCAAAAATTCGGCCCGAAAAAAAAACGACAGTGGTACCCCTTACGTTTTTTTTTTTGGGCGAAAAATTAAGTTTCTCCAATCTTCCCAAAACTCTGGATTCTGATAGAGGGCCATGAGACTTAGACCTGAGTGCAAAAATGGAGGCTCTAGCCCCTTCCAGAGCTGAGATATCGAAACTCAAAAATTCGGCCCGAAAAAAAAACGACAGTGGTACCCCTTACGTTTTTTTTTTTGGGCGAAAAATTAAGTTTCTCCAATCTTCCCAAAACTCTGGATTCTGATAGAGGGCCATGAGACTTAGACCTGAGTGCAAAAATGGAGGCTCTAGCCCCTTCCAGAGCTGAGATATCGAAACTCAAAAATTCGGCCCGAAAAAAAAACGACAGTGGTACCCCTTACGTTTTTTTTTTTTGGGCGAAAAATTAAGTTTCTCCAATCTTCCCAAAACTCTGGATTCTGATAGAGGGCCATGAGACTTAGACCTGAGTGCAAAAATGGAGGCTCTAGCCCCTTCCAGAGCTGAGATATCGAAACTCAAAAATTCGGCCCGAAAAAAAAACGACAGTGGTACCCCTTACGTTTTTTTTTTTGGGCGAAAAATTAAGTTTCTCCAATCTTCCCAAAACTCTGGATTCTGATAGAGGGCCAT